GTAGGCTCGAACTTCAGTAATTTAGAAACACCCCGGGGAAATACCGGCAACTGATGAGATCCACATGGAGGATCAAAACCATGGTCTTGCCTGAGTCAAGCCCAACAATAGTAAATACAAAACGCAAAACAGTGAACAGACTTGCGCGTAAACTTGCTTTTACGTGGCGAATAAATTGTAATTACCGTAAATCTTCGAATTAGCGCCCGAGGCGCTTATTTCAAATTTAGGATAAGACAGGGGGCGCTTATTTAATTTTTCCCAAATCGTAGCCTGACATGATCATTTTTTAATACATCATCTGCGCGTAAACACCAACATAAGCTGTTTATTGACATGAAAAGCTGATCCTAAAGGTTAAATCGCGGCACCGTTAGTACTTAACGTGTTCACTAAACGCGTTCACAAACTGAAACAATGGACAAATCTAATACTACATGACGAAAACTATACACCCTTTGTTGTCTCATTACTCGTCCACAAAATGGGGGGAGGGGAGGGGGACGCTTATTCGAGGGGGGGGGGCGCTAATTCGAGGATTTACGGTAATTGTTGACAGAGGGTCCCCTATACTTTTTTCGTGACGCGTGAATGGGCAGTTTTGCTTTGCGTGAGACGTTAATTAGGATTTACTTTTTCCGTGTTTCGTGAAAATATATTATTTACATTTTTCCGTCCTCGGGAAACTGGTTTTCGATTTTTTCATGATCCGTGAAATATGCATTTACTTGCACGTGATTCCTGAACCAGCGACTTCTGCGGGAATAATTTTTCACTTGTCTTGGAGATTTTAGCGTCATTAAAGCTCGTAAACTTGTTCAGGAGTGTTTCTAAAAGTTAGTAGGCTAGCGTCTTAGCTCTAGAGACAAAACGGTTACAGAAAGTTTCTAGCTACTCTAGGTTACGCATTGAAGAGAGTGCCACTCAATTCTGAGGTTTGTGCGTCGATGGTTTTTAGCAATATGAAAGCTGTTAATCACTATTACGGTAGTCCACAGTTTATGTTTACGTGCAGAGTTAATGTGCTCTGCGTTGGCAGGCATTCATTAAAGGGACACCATGTACTTGAGCGCAAAACATTGTGGTGATTTTT